AAATAATACTCTAATTATTACATTTTTAAATGAAGCAGATATTTTTATTAAGACAATTTTAGATTATTATTTTAATAACTCTATTTACAAATGTATAACATTTGTTATTTAATAAATATATTAAAAATACCGAAAGACATTGATGTCTTGTTTGAGGAGATTGTAATTCTCTCTATTTTTTATGATTTGCCAGAATATTTAAAGTTAGATGGTCTAAAAGCAGAGGAGAAATGGGTAGAATTTTTTCATAATAACAATAAATCCCCATGCTTGGGAAAAATATGCGAGTAAGTCTTCTCCTTACCTCATTCTAATGCCTCATGCGAGCGCATTTTTAGCCTGATAAAGACTGCATGGAAAAAGGAGAGAAATCGGATTGCTTTAACAACATTAGAGGCCGAGCTAATGGTTAAACAAATTTATAATATTTCATGGCAGGAATTTTATAAATATCTCAATAACGACGATGAACGTTTAGTTTCATTATTTAAATCTCAAAAAAATATAATTAACATTATAACTATTTAATTTTCCATATTTTTTACATTGTAAATCAAAAATAGAGAGCATTACAATCTTCTCAAACAAGATATCAATGTCTATCAGTATTTTTAAAATATTTTAACATTGTTTTAGCAATGGCGCCATAAAATTTATTGTCAATTTTTAACTGTAAAGATGAACACATCTGCAGCATAATTTTGTGAATCTTTGTTAAGATTCTTCTGATTGCAACTACACATTAACAGCATGTAGTAGATTTCCTACATGTGAAATCATTCCTAAATATACCTCTGCCATTCAATATTGAAAATTTTTTTTTAAATGTTAGGACAGCTTTTATATTCTTTATTTAAGAAAAATTTTTTTAAAGGTTTATAAAATTTTAAAATTCTATCGATGACGGGTATTAGGAACATATCGCAACCAACATTGTGCTGACTCAAGTCTGTAAATACACTCTGGTTTTTTCCAAATTCACTGAGGCATTATCAGATCAGAAAGCTGACATACAATTTATTGATAATCCCGAATCTGCTATATTTATCATTATATGGTTAACTATGTCTTTGGATTTTTCACTATTTGAGGGGAAAAAATTTAATAGTTTTCTTGAAACATCCTTAATATTGTTGAAATAGCGGAGGATAATATTTCCATTATTAGATGCATCTGTTAGAATTGCATATGTATGCCCATCTTTCAAATCTTCAAGAATTGACCTCCTGAATTTAAGTTCTAAAACAGTGATGATATCCTTGCTCATTTTTTGTTCTACAAATAAAGTTTTTATTTATCATGGAGTCGTTAAATATTATGGGTAAAGATTCTATCCTCATTGTAATTATAAGTAGCTCTGTGAATGTTGTACTACAAAATAAGTGATTACAATTGCCGCAACTGTAGTTGCATCTGTATTATTTCTTATTTTTGGAGAATATTTTATGGATGTAGATATACTCTCCTGCACTGATTATAATAATGTGATCAATAATAAATAAAATAATTATCAATGAAATGAGTACAATATTACCTTATTATGTATTTAAACGTGATACCTGATAATTAAGCGCCCATCCCTATAATATTATACACACACACAAGATAGATTTCCAATTGCGGATGTTTTACGGGACATTCGCATAAAATATACTTTTACATTGTAAAATTAAAATCATTTGTTTTTTTATAAAATATATCTTGTTTACATTTTTTTATATTTAAAAAGGATCGTTGGTTATTTTTTATAAATTAATATATTTTAATAAATCAAAATGTTATTTTATTTTGAAAAATAGTAATCGAATTTGTATTTATATAAACTAATTTAAAAAATAATAGGTGGATAATTAAGTCAATTCAAAGGCCGCGATTTTGTGGGCCTTTTCTAGCAATTTTTTTAATTTTCATATTTCAACGGCAATATACCAAATTTCTCCCACAATTGGAAATACTGGAAGTATTGGGACTCCAGATTTCGTTATTTTGACCTGGCAACCCTTTTCATAGATAGAAGTAGTTATAGAAGTGGCAAATTATCTAGCTAAAAGGAGCTATGCTATAAATAAAATAAATGTTGAGCCCTGTAGGACTGATTGCCCTATCGAAGTCCGATCCGATCAAATTCAGATTGGTCAAATTTGCAAGGACTTTTTCTCGGACTTGACCTAATTCCTACCTTGATTTTAAAACTTATTTAGAGCCGCCGACCTCAAAAGAATTAAAAATTATTTTGTTTTCTGAATGTTTTCATGAAAATTAATTTCAAGAGTAACCAAAATTAGTTTATCCCTAAGCCTTATAATTTTGATTTCTTAAAATAACATGCCTTTTATACATTTCTATAAAAGAAAAATTGGGAATTTACTCCAATCTATTTCTAAAATAAAAATTAGAATCTTTGGAAAAATTGTCAGATCGGATCTGTGTGAATTTTTTTTAAAATTCTTTGTAGGATCAGATCTGAACTGATTAAATAGTTGAATAAAAAAAAATATTCGAAATTAACAAATTTTGTTTTTTACCAATCATAATGTCTTCCCTTGGGCATATATCAAGCGGGACTTTAAAAAATTTTTAAAAATATAGTGGGTAAAATAAGAGTCCTTACATCAGAACCCAAGAAATTTTATTTTTTAAAACAAAATATTCAAATTATCATTTTAAAATATTTTTTGGGAACTTGTAGTCCCAATTCCGTATTATAGAATGAGTTTTTTTAAAAAAATTATCTAATAGATGATTAAAATATATTTGATATTTAAAAAAAAAGAGCGAATATAATATTGTTAAAAAATATTATAGCTATATAAACCTGAAAATAAATCAAAAAAAATTTAGAATTAAACATTAGATGATGATTTAAAATGTTAATCAAAATATCGGTCATAAATGGAAATTTAATCTTTAACGCGATTGCGCCAATTTTTTAACATGTTATTCAGTATTAGTGATCAAGTATCTATATATATTAAGCAGAGCTAGTCCATTCAATCCATTTTCGTTGTTTTTATTCTCCGTAATGTAGAAAAGTTCCTCTCATTTATGCTTGCAATATTTATTGTTAACAAAATATTTAGTAATCCTAAAATATTTGGAAAAGCTTTAAAATGTATTTTAAGGTAGGCAATGATTCCATGAGTTTCTTGGAGTTTATTAATCTTTCACACCAAGATTTAAGTTTTGAAATTAATTGGCATTCAGATAAATTTATATCCACTGAATAAAATTGTGCTAAATATTTAATTTTTCAATATCAAGATTTAATCCTTAAACGGATTTAGGTATAATAGTATTTGTAAATTAGTTGGAGCTTTTTTATGAATCACAAATCGTTGATTGATCTTAAAATTCATTCAAAAAATAATAACGATTATTTTATAGTAATACTCAATTAAGTTCACGTTTATACTGGAAGGACTTATTTGCCTACGTGCAAATCGAGGCTTGCGAATCTTAAAATCATATAATTTTGCTTTCGCCTCAACACACAAATCTCGTAAAATTATAATATTCGCCATTCTCATAATCTCAATCAAAGTCAACATTTTTAAAAAATATTGCATAAAATTGTTGCGTAAATTTATTAACACATTCCAACGCAAAAAAATTGGCTCATATTGAATCTAATAGTGTATCCGCTAAATATCTAGTTCGGCCTATTCTGAAATTTTTTATAGGGCAATAAAAATTGGTTCTTCTAGATATAAAAATGCTATAAAGTTTGATGCCTAAGGCTCTATCTTGTCGGGCATACTTTTTGCAGTCCCTTCTTTCTTAGCACATTAAGTCTCAGAGATGATTTTTCTTAGCAAATTCTTGGACTTAACATTTCACACTTTATAAAATTATCTAGTCAGAGTTAGTAGATAAATTAAATAGAATTTTATTTGATTGATAAAATTTTTAATCCACTTTAAATTTTTGCAGGATTAAATATTAATGCACAAGGGATATATATTTAAATTAATTTTAACTTTTTACTACAAACATAACAGATTTAAAATAGAATTTGCAATTCACAAAACCTATTTTTTCAAAATTTTAGCTAAAAGGAGGACCTTCCTCCCTCGGTTGACTATGCGCCTGCATACACTCTAACTTTCTTTCATCTATTTTATTTTTCTAAAGAATTTATTTTATTTATTTTTGATTCATTTAATTTTTTAAATTCATTAATTATATATACAATACCAATGTTAAAAATACTTATTTGTTAAGTGGATATTTTAAGAATCAATTTTTATCAAGTCTTGAAATAATACGTGCATGTATTTTAATATACCGCCACAACTTCAATATTTTTTATAAAAAAATACATATATATATTTTATGATTTAATTTTGGATATTTGATCGAAATAGGAAACGATGGGTCAGAAATGAGACATAAAAAAGTAAAACATAAAAGAGAAAGAAGAGAAAAGAAAATCTGTAATTTCTTTATACAATCTTAATCATTTTCAAACGATTGTCTTAATAGAAATAAAAGTAAGAGTCAGTTTTACTTTTTAATAGAAAATTAATTAAAGATTTAAGTTTCGATAAATTTTGCAAAAGAAAGAAAAGTGAATTATAAGCGCAAATTCATAATTTTATTTTATTATAATAATAAAATTATATTAAAAATAGATAATAATTTTGATTATCATAATCTCTTTTGAACCATCTTCATCTTTTTTTAAAAATATTATTACTTATTGTATATTATACATAAATAATGTTATTTTTATTTGAAATTTTTGCCATGGCTCCAATAATATTTTATTTTAATAAAAATATTTTAATATAAAATACTAATACTAATCTTTTAAATGTTTTATAATAAAAGAAATAATTTTAACGATTTTTATGATGTATAAAAAAATTAAAATTAAATAATGCAAAAGTTTAAAAAAGTTTTAAATTATTTTTCTTTATAAAAATATTAATTTATAAGAAGAGAAGAAAAAACTTCTAAGTTTTATTTTTCGATTATTTATTTTTGGGAGAAGAGGGGCATAAATGATTTATTAAAAAATCTATCAAATATTTAGGAATAATTATAAATTTTTCAAGGAAAAATACGATTCAATTTTGGAAAATAACAAGAAGAAAATATTACGCTATTCGGAAAAAGGTTAAATATTTATCAGAATTTTATAACATGAGAAGTGCTGATAAAAAAAAAGTAGATCCGATGATCGACCTAATCTGTGACTGAAACAAGATTATATGTATATCTATTCTGGACCTAAATAATCCAGAAGGCCGGTATAAACTGGAACCGAACCTTGCAAAGTATAATCTGGACGGTTTTAAAACTAATCTATTATATTATTAGGGAAAGAGTTATCAATTCCTTTAATGATAGAGCAAGTAGATTCTGACAAAATTATTTAAAAATAATAAACTTTGAATAATACAAAGAGTGGAACTCAATTATTTTGCTTCTTTGAGTTTAAACTTAATATTGTTAAATTTTTGCCACCGTCTTATAGCTTTTAAATGATGGGCTTTAGTTACCTTTGGGATCTATCATTTGAAAATGAAAAAATTAATATAGTAGATAAGATTAAGTTATAGAAATAAAAGAGGAGTTTCGGAGGCTATTTGCTTGGTATATTAATTTTATCTTGAAATTAATATTTCTTTTATAAAAAATAATAATAACATCGTTATTTTGGAACATTTAAAAATTTATTTATAAATAAAGAAAAGACCAAAATACTCCTCTAGGGTTTATAAATAATATTTGTAATATAAAATGTGACAATTTAAAAAAATTATATTTTTTAATATCTTTATTCTTTTCCATATATATAAAAATGAAATAAAGAATTAAGATATCAAAAATATATTTTTTTCAAAGCTACAACTACAAATTATTTTTAAATAGATACAAATTGTTTTAAAATAAGATAGCTAAACTATTTTAAATACATAAAATTGTTTTAAATTTTTTTATAAAACACACTTGTTTTAAAAATTATATGAAAAAAAATTATTTGTAAAAAAGTATTTTTAAATACACATCAACACAGAGAAAACATTTGAAAAATTTGTCCAATTCAATCTAAGATTTTTTCAGAATCCTAAGTGACATTTTATAAATAAATCTGAAATAATATTCGACTTTTTTTTTATGGGACTTCCAAAAAATGTATAATAATACATCAATCATTAAATATCCCTATAAAGAAGTAGAACAAAATTGTTTACCTAAATATTTAAATTTTTGAAATAACTTAAAAAAATAAAATAATTAAAGGACAGAATGACGAACAATATTCATAGGTATTCAGATTTAATATCAGAAGATTACGAGGAAAATTTGGCCGTATCAACGGGTGCCTTGCAAAATGAAACAGCTTTTCAAAGTGGGATTGAGTTTGATGCTAGGGTAAAATATAAAAATAGCTCTATATAATATTTTAGAAATATAAATGAAATATCAAACATTCTGAAATAATTAAATTAACAAGAAAAACAGGACTGGTCAGACAAGGTGTAAACATTATTTTCATCTGGATAGGGTAAGAGTGGCAGGGCTAATTTTTCATTCTTTAAAATAAATATTTTAAATGAAATAGAATATAGAGATCTGTAAAAGTAAGCCCGGCCCGTATCCGGTCGGACCGGGCCTATTTATTTTTTTTTAAAAATGGGTTCGGGCAGAGTCGGGGCTAAAAAATTTAAGAAAATTGGGGCCGGGTCGTGCCTTAGAATTTTTTTTAAATATATCTAAATTTATCAATTTTATGTTGAATTTTTTATGTAATATAAAAATATTTGATTTTATTAATAGAAACTAGACGCCATATAACATATCGTTTATTTTGTTTGAGTAATTATAAAAATTTATTTCTATATTTAAATAAATCGGGGCAGGCCGATCTGGTAAATTTTTTCAAAAAAAATTTGGGTTCGGGCCGGGCCGGCAAAACTTTAAAAAAATTTGGGGTTCGGGCCAGACTGGGCAAAACTTTTTAAAAAAAATTTCGGGCCGGGCTTGAAAAATTAGGCCTGTGCCGATCACTAAGAAGTATAAATTCATATTTTTCACATTTATTTCTATAAAAATATTATATTCATTTCTTTTCTATTTCTAAATAACAATAATTTATGTTTATAATTTTAAATTTTAAAAGAAATTTAAGAATGGCACTCTAATCCATTTATATATTAGGGAAATTTCTAGACAGGGTACACTTTTTTATATTTAATTTGAGATAACTATATATTATTTTCAAAATTTGTACAATTGTGATATTATGTATATGTTTGAGCTTTAAAGTGAGATTTGAATCAAGATTTCGTTAACATACTATTATTTATCACTTAAATTTTAAAAATATTTCCAATCCGAAACGCTACCCAGCAAGAAAGATATTTTCCCGACTTATAGCGAAATTAAGAAATAATCACAATTTCGGTTAGATTTTTAGGTTGGATCGGGTTTTGCAAATTTTACTCTAAGCATTTCTTTAAAAAAGAATTCGTTCGCTAGTCGTTTATTGGCAAAAATCAGAGATGCATTAACACCAATTGTTTTACTAATACCCTTCGATCCTATACCAGCGATCCCATGTATCTATATATATATAACCATAGACGTCCCCATAATATATAAGGGGATTAAGTTGCCTCTTCCCTTAAATTTATTGTAGTTCTTAAGTTCACATATTTCATGCCTTTGGCTGTGTTATTTTAATTTTCACTTTTTTTTATAAAGATGCCTTTTCTAATAATTTTTAATTATAGTCATTATTTTAAAAAATTATTAACTTTTACTTACCTTTCAAATTATTCTTTATGATATATTGTATATATTTTTGGAAAGGGGAGAGGGGGATTTACAGGGCTTCGAACCGTCGGTTTATTTCGGTTCTCAGTTTAAATTTTTTATAGGTTTTGTTCCATTACGGTGCTTCTTTTAGGTTAGTTCCTTTTCGGTTAGTTTTGATTTTTATAAATTTTATTTTTTAAAAAAATTAATTATAATACAGTGGCCTAGAGAAGGGTACGAAAAAAAAAATTTTTTTCTTATTGCAAATAATTTTATTTAAAAAATGGTTTCAATTTGTAAATAAAATTATATACGATATGAAAATGAAATATATTTAAAAAAACAAATAAGAATTTTTAATTTTAAATGATTACATGGTTTAAAATATATATTAAAAATTATATGTAAAATATTAAATAACAATAAAAATGTATTGTAAATTTTTTCTCGTATAGTTAAATTAGATATTTATAAATTTAATAATAAAATTTATATTGTTAAACTAATTAAATAGTTTTAAAAATTTAATTAATTTTTTATAATTTTTAAATAAAAGAAAAATCATTTAATTTGGGAAATATGAGAAAGTAAAGGTGATCATAATATGTTTAGGATTAAAATTTTTAAACCTAGATTAGTTTCTAGATATTCCAATCGCTTAAATAGATGCATCTACGATTGAGGATTTTTATAAAATAAATATTTTTAATTCCCTTATTGATACATCTTTACTTCAATTAAAGGAAAGATTTATTACTCACAATTTTATTTTAAACAGCTTTTATTTTCTTTTGCCGAGTGAGTCTAAATACAATTGAAACGCGAGAGGATATTAAGAAAATCTCAGAGTTTTATTCTGATGAATTATCAGGATCGTATGATAAGTTACTTTGTGATGTTGAATTTTGGTATAAAAATTTTGACAGAATAGAGTACTCTTTGAGACAAAAATATGCTTTGCAGGCCCTTTTTATGTATAATTACACTTTAGATTCCCTGCCTAATATCAAAACATTGCCTATTATTTTAGCTACCTTACCGATTTGCACTGCGCTAATGAAAGGTCTTTTTCAACTTTGAAAAGGTTAAAAACCTATTTAAGAAATAGCACCGATGAAAGCCGTTTAAATGGATTGGCAATATTAAATATTTATGAGGAGATTATTCTAGATAAAAATTTGATTCTAGATGAATTAGTCAAATCTCAGAGAAAAGTAGACCTCTCTTTATAAATTCAAATTATAAAATTGCTATATTATTATAATATGATCTTAGTCATAAAATTTTTATATTCAAAACGTAATTATAATGAATTCTTTGTCATAATATTTATATATTATATTATTTTTAATAAAAATATTGCATTAGCACTATGAATTAATACCATCATCTGGCCTAATTTTTCAAGCCCGGCCCTGCCCGAAGTTATTTTAAAAAAGTTTTGTCGGCCTGGCCCGAATTTATTTAAATATAGAAATTCATTTTTATAATTACTCAAAATAATAGATATATGTTATATGGCGTCTATTTTTTATAAATAAAATAAAATATTTTTATTTTACATAAAAAATTTAACATAAAATTGAAATATTTAGATATAAAAAAATTTCCAAGGCCCGACCCAACCCGGCCGAATTTTTTAATTAATACTAAGCCCGACCCAGCCCGTTCTCGATTTTCCTACTTTTGCGGATCTCTATTAAGAATTATTTATGTTTTATTAATATACTCATTTGTATTAATTATAATATAATTGTTAAATTAGATTTTTTTAAATACCGCACAAAAATTAGTCATATTTTATTGTAATTCTATTTTTTTTTAAATATAGTTATTTAGAATAAATTTTTAATATAATCTGTATAAAATTTATACATTTTGAAATATTGTATAAATAATAAATAAAATCTATAATGAAATTCTCTGCAAAATTTTGTTATATGAAAAATTTCATTAAAATAATTATTTTTAACATAGAATAAGATATATTGAGTGATCATAAAAAATGGGAGGTTTGGGGGGCGATTTTATTTTTTTTCCTACACCGAATGGATTGAATTAATTTACAATTGACTAAACATTGATAAAATTTTCAGAATAATGCTTTCAATCGCGTATTAATCATAAATTTGGCCAAAATTTTGTTACTAATATTTTTTTCATTTATACTGAATACTATAGTGGTAAGACACCAATAAAGCACAAAATTGGCAAATTTTTAAAAAGCAGTTTGGGGGCGAAGTCCCAAAAAAAATTTACATCCCCCCCCCCATGGATCAATCCTGGCTACGCCACTGACCATATATATATTAATCTTAGAAATATATATATTTTTAATTTATATTTTTATAATTCCATATTTAATTTAACCATGAAGATTATTTCTTATCTAATTATTTAGTAATTTGCCTAGTCTCTATTAAATTGAGTATATAAAGTAAAAACAATAAACTTGGTATTTATTGATATGAAGATAATGGCGATTTAATTGTAAAAAAAATTTAATTTGAAAAGAAATCCCAAATTTAAATTGCTACCAAGGAAAATTAAAATTTAAAATTTAGGTTAATAATTTAAAATTAATTATTTTTAAAACCGTTTTGAACCGGTTTAATCCAGTTTAAAATATTTATAACATTTTGGTTACGGTTTCAGAATTATACGGGTTCGTTTTGATTTCGCGATTCAGTTCGGTTTGAAGCCCTGGAGGGTGTAGATGTTAGGGGAACTTTTTTATTAACTTTTGATATGGAACAAGCAAATATCTGAAGGGGCATGGCTTCACCTTATATATGAAATTACCGAAAAAAGTAAACATTAACTTAGCCATCTCTTATTATTCATAAATTTTTATTTTTTAAATATATAAAATAATATTAGTATAATAAGATTATGATAAAATAAAATAGAATTTGATCTTTTATTTTCGGATTGTGATTAATTTTGTTTAAAATGCGCCAGTCAACGGAAAATATAATAACATTTTTATTTCTTGGAAGAGAATGAGACGCACAAGAGAGGTGAGGGCAAATTTTATTATTATTCATATTTTTAAGATAAATTATAAAAGTTACGAATTTTTCAATAAAATTTAATTTTTAATAACTATTCAACTAACCTTAAGAGGGTTAAATAATTTTGTTATCCATGGTATGCAAAAATAAATATTGGCCGATATCGGCCTATAGAATGAGTATCGTTATCTCCATCAAAAATATAATACGTTCATGTTCAACATTCATTTGCAAAAAAAGGAATTCGTTAAAACATTCTGTGAATTTTGCCTTACCGATTTCCCGCAAACAAAGGATACCAAGTTGGTGACCGTCTGGGTTGATTATCCATGATCTTGCAATCTAAATCATGTTTTTCCTCTGTATAGAGGGCACTAGATAGTAATTCCTTAAGACCGTCAAATATAGCAGTGACCCATCGACCCGCCACATATACCTCCCTCATCAATAAAGCCCTCATTTCAGGTGTAAATTCTTAAACCACTAGGACTATTCAACGATACTCGACATCCAGGCTGGATTACCAAAATCTCATAGAAGAAGATCCTTTCTTTGTGAACTTTACCCCCTTGCTTAAATTGTGACATATTGTCAGCTGTG